TTATGTGGGTGGCATATTTTATTGTGTATTTTTCTGTGTGTAGCTTAACTTCATTGAGATTAAATAACCCCTCCTTAGATTCTTAGTATGAGACTTAGTCTAAGCAAAATGTGAAAAATATGCGGCCAAATGTACGATTGTTTTAGTCCTTTGTAGAATTGGAAGGAGTTTTTGAATATCCCAACTTACATATATGTATTCAAGGTAAAAGAACGGTAATGGGAAAAAAAAAAGAAAAATATGAGTGAGGATTTTGATTTTGAGTGATCTTTTAAATTGTGCTATCTTTAGCACAACAACAAAGAAACAAACTTTGTCTGAAGTCAATATTCCAAATTTTAAAATTGAGACAATGTCATCATGGTGCTTGTCCCCCTCCCCCCCTACACACAGCCCTTCACTATATATAACTGTTTGCTGAGAACTGGTGAACTAGAAATCAAGATCTTTGTAATCTCTTAATTCTATCATTTAAAATGATGCCAATTTGATAGAATGGCATTCTCATTTTCCTCATTTGCTTCATTTTCTTCATTTGCAAAATTACTTTATGATAGGGGAGGGAAGCTGCATTTGGAGAATGTTTATTATGTGCTTTGAGATCATTAAAGCTGATATCACTTTGCATACCAAGTGGTGGTATTCATATCCTTAATATACTAAAGTTCTGATACAATCAACCTTTAAAGAATCACATATCGTGACCAAGTTTATGCATAATTCCATGATGTAAATGTCTCTGCAGTAATTACTCCCTCTGAAATCTTGACATGAGCACTGTCTGTGTCACTCACGTGGGGATATAGAGTAAGCCATTTTGTACTGTTATTCATTTTTATATGCATATGTCCTATTTATCCAAACAGATTGGGAATTTTGAGAGTGGGGCTGCATATCCCCAGCTTCTAGTGATGTGCTTTGTACCTAATCGCTGCTTCCTCACTCATTGTTGATGATTAGAGGGTGTTCAGTTATGAACGTGTCCTTTCTGTGGCCTGAAGGTGGAATTATTTCTGGGCTTTTTGTCTGAAGTCTGAAGAGTAGTAGTATCAAAAAAGGAGGAGATAAATATCACTCATCATCTCTTGCATCTTTGGTCATCTCCCCATGTGCATTTGAGCTCAACTGGAAGGGAAGTAGCTGACAATTTTAAACCATCAAATATGTTTTACTGATGCTGTGTTACCTACAGCATAAAGTTATCCATTAGTCATCAGCATATTCATTTGATTATTATTTATAAAAGACTGGCAATGACTAATTCTAGTTTCTACTCTAAGCCAAAATATGAAAAAGTTAATAGTATAAAAGCCATTCTATATATTAATTTCTCATTTAAATTAAAATCTATCTCTATGAAATCTCATTGCCAGAATAAATATTGATAAGGATGGCACTTAATTGGTAATATTGAAAAGTACAATACTTAACTAAATAAAAACACTACTCCTTAAAACTTTTAAGATGTTTTAAATTAGCATAATAATACTCCACTTAATTTCTGCCCTCTTCATGTTTTATAAGTAGAGAGTAGAGTTTGCATATTCTTGTGCCTCTGTCTTTAAAGGAACCACAAGGACACAAACCAAGTTTCCAGACTCCAGGGAAGATTATTGTTGAATTAATTCCCAAAAACCTTATGAAATTTGTCTATTTTGCATATTATTCAGTAGACATGCTTATATAATTTCCTGAACATAAATTTGTTACCAGCAAGAATTCAAATAGACCCCTTATTAGTGTGAAAAAGTTGACACAAATTTTCCCAGACATGTACTTAAATATATTCATATTGACAACACCAGCACAATCATGAGGACTGTTTGGTACCCTAATACATCCCTTCAAATACTACCTTGTAGGAATATGTAGTTACCATTGCAGTTAAAATGCCTCATTGGAATGACTTGGTTTAATTCCCCTGGCTCTAGCCCTTGACTCACATTTCCAGCTAATGCAGATTCTAAGAGACAGAGGTGATAGCCCACATAATTGGGTTTCTGCCACCTATGTGGGACATGTGGATTGCATTCATGGCACCGCTATCCCAGCCATGGAATTTTGGGAAGTGAACCAACAGATTGGAGCTCTCTTTGTCTCTCTCTCTCTTTCTCACTCTCTCTCTCTCTCTTTCTCTCTCTGTGTGTGTGTGTGTGTGTTTGTATGTGTATGCCCTTCAAATAAACAAATAGCAAACTTTAAAAATGTATAACATGATAGAAATGGGGATTTCTTTTGCCTAAAGTGATCTCAGCAAAATGGAGACCAGAAGCTCAAAACTAAACCCACCATGTTTTCTGTATATTTCTCCTTCACTTCCTACTCCAGTGTAAGTTACACAGGCAAATCATGATATAGAAAGAGTACATTATCATGGCTTAATATAAAATCCTCATATCTGTTATTAGTTCTTCATCGCTCTTGTCATCAAGAGATACTCATTCCAAATTTAGTCCAAACTAACATTTGTTACTGATGTATTTTCCCACAGGAATGTTAAAAATTCAGTTGTTCGAAGTGCAAATATAATTCAGCAAGCCATTTATCAGAAATCCCAATCACATGATATAAAAAGGTAGACTGAGAAACCTGAATTAAATGGGCTTTACCAGTGAAAGATTCCGAAACTGCTTCCTGAGAGTGACTGATACGGAGCAGAACAAAGTCAATTACTGACTGTAATTAAGAAGTGGATGCATTTAAACTGTAGAGAGCAGTAGCAGACTTCTGCAGACTGCCGAGGAACTCAAAAGATTGGTGGGAAGACAGAGGGAAGGATGTGAACTGTATCTCTCTGATATTACATTTTGAATGAATGGCATTCATGTAGCTCTCTGATCCAGCTTCCAAAAATAAATTTGTAAATCACTGATTATGTATGATTAATGCTGCAATATATTTGGGCAAAGAAACTTTAAAATGTATTTTGCTTTTTGTTGTTTTAGCAGTGAAAGATCCCCTTTGCATTGCATTTCATGCACCAAAAATGCAAGTAGACTGCAGAAATATTTATATTTTATCACTGCTTGAATTTACTAGGCTGAAAACTGAACTATGTTGGCTCCTTTGTAAGCCTTCAGAATACAGTAAATCTAATTATGTTTGTTTCTTGTGTGCTTTTAAAATATTGTTCCTTTTTATAATTTTAATAATGGTTTATTTATACTGGCAGAGAAACATATTAGATCGTACATTGTGCTTGGGCTAATTCGTTTTTCTTGTGTATGTTAACAAATTGTGGTATTATTTAATACATTCATAATTACAATATTTAGATTAAGATGAAGGTAGAGGTTGAGGACATTACTGTTTTTCTTGTATTAGTTTGGAGTGACCTTATATTTTTAGATGATTATTTCAGAGACAACACTTTATAAAGTAAATATTTGGAACTTTATGTAAGTAAAGAACATGGCAGTAGTGTTCAGATAATTAGGCAAACATCAGCTTTAGCTGTCTTTTACTGGATACATAAAACAGAGGACTGTTTTGAGTCATCACAAATCTAACATGCAGTTTTATTAAAAGAAAATAAAAAACAAGAGAGAAAGAGAGAGAGAGAGAGAGAGACTGATATGTCAAATTCTCGTGTAGATAGTTAAATGCTATTATTTTGCAATCTTTCGCTCTATAATTGCACACACTTTGGTCAGTTCCTCTCCTTACAGTTACAGAGATTGAACTTAGTATTGGAATGCATCTCATTCAAGAATGATGGCATTGTAGTGCTGAGAAATATTACACCTCTTTAGAGATTTCTGAAAATAAATGACAAATGAATATATATGCACATGTATTATCGAAGATTTCTTAAAACCTTCAGGATCATTGTCATTACATTTTGCCATAAGAATCAACCTTCAGAGTGGGTAATAATTGTCACTTTAATGATAGAGTTAGGGAAATGGTCTGAAGCATGATTTTTGATGCTTTGAACCTGTGCCACATTTCAGTGTTTGCCTCCTGGTTAGAGCAAGTAAGGCTGGAAAGAGGTGACTGGCTCCTTGTTGAATATTTTGAAATGTCAGTCGTCTAAACCTGTGAAGCCTTGCTTGATGTGTGACAGTAGTCAGGAAGTGTTCATCATCCTTTTGCAACAAGAAGTCAATAATACAAAGGGAAAATCTTCACAGTTCAGATTGATAGCCTCATACAGAAAGCCTGTCCACACCCACCCTAATGGAATTGTTTCTAAGTAGACTTTCATGTGTGAAACCAAGAGCATTGCTCTGATTCTATAAGGTCATATCCCTGTCTCTTATTCTGGAGCAAAAAAAGATTCTCTGTAATGAAAAATGTATAGTTACATGGCAATCACTGCCAACTACTTAACAGTAATGAGAGTCGGAAAATTTGATGCTCATTTGATAAATACATTCCGTGAGAGGTTCAAATATGTAAATTAACTTTTATTCCGAGATACTCCCTTCATGGGGAAATTGGCCCTTTATTACTTTCCTATAGGTATTTCTGATAGGACAGTAGAAATAGCCAAATGTTATTCATCTGAACGACCTTTTAGAAAAGTCTGCATTAGTCTCTTTGGTAAATAATCCATTTTAGAGCCTTCCATAAAAGGGAATCAAATATAGAGATACTATTAGATTTGAAAAGACAAACAGAAAAGAGTCCAAAGCTCAGAATGAATTCTGAGACACCGAAGTGCATTTTTCTTGTGGGTTCTAACTTAAGTGTGTACTGTCTGTGTTACTCTGACTTCCTGGTCATAACTCCTTAAGTTGGAGTAATTCAGCTTTGGCCCTACTCTGAGCTAATCGTTCTAATATTAAAACAATAATGTATTTGTTATGACATGAAAAAAACAGTTTATAGAGAGCAGTTCAAAATGATCCCAACCTCCCAGTTCCCAGAAAGACAATTACTGGAATACAAGAAATATTTCAGTGTATTAAACCATATTTTTTAAAAGGACATGTATTTATAAATGTCAAAGATCTTGTTTCACATAGTTTCTTTACCTGTTGGACTTTCTTTTTCAGATCACAACATTATCGGGAAATGAATTCCTTCTTCAGTCAGATATTGACTTCATCATATTGGATTGGTTCCATGCTATCAAAAATGCAATTGACAGATTGGTATGTATTTGTTTTGCCTGTTATCTTTATTAATTAAAATGTAATCATTTAATCTTGTTGCTCAGGCATATAACACAGATGCATTTTAATGCATCCTATGGACTCAGCAACATTAAGTTCTTTTAAGTTTAAGTAGAGTTCACTAAAAACCTTTTCAGCAAATAGGATTTATGTCACTAAGTGCCATTTAATTTCTTTCTTTCAAAATGTAATACATTCTTTTATTTTTTTCTGAAATAACATGGACATTCATTTACTAGAAGCTGTAAAAAGCACACAAGCGCTTAATAACTACTGACTTTTTACATTTTCAGTTTATGCAGTTTGCAATACATATTCTTGAAAATAAATATCAATGTGTTTAAGACCATGCTCACTGTTATAATACCAGTAAATAATAATCCTTTGTACTGATTTTTATTGTTCTTCTAGCTATGCTAGATTCTTCTTTTCTGGAAAATTATGTATCTAGAACTTAATGAAATTATCCTAAATCACACATATTTAGAACATGTTTTAAAAATGACTCAAATTTATTTAACACTACTCATTTTATACTGGCTTAGACTAAACACCTAATTTTAGGACATTGATATTGTAAAATCTTAAGGAAAAATATTCTTAAGTGTTTTCAATAACTATAAAATAGGAAAATACAATATTTATTGTGTGTGTTGATATTTGATTACAGTCTTTCATTATGATTTCAGGAATAAAAATTCTAAAAATACAGTGAGTTGATTCATCAATATAGTCCCTTATACATGTATGTACATACACAGATAACTATCTGGGAGTAGTCTGCCTGAATTTAAGCTCTGGTTTATTATTTCCTAGCTGTATGGACTGAGGTAAATTACTTTGGGACTCAGTTTCATCTGGTAAATAATGATAGAAATAATAATAATAATAATGATAATACAAGGGGTAGGCATTCAGCCTACCAGTTAAGATGGCAATTATCATATCTGGAGCCCACATCAGGGTTCCTGGGCTCAACTTTTAGCCTCTGATTTTAACTTCCTGCTAACACAGACTCTGGGAGATAGCTATTCTACCTCAAGTAGCTGAATTTCTATCACCCATGTAAGAGATCTGGGCCCCTGCCTTTGGCACCCAGCTGTTGTGTGCATTTTAGGATTGAACCCAGTTGGTGGAAGATTTTTCTCTCTCTCTCTTTCTCTGTCTCTCCCTCCCTCTCTCCCTCTCTCCCCTCTGTAAAATAAAAATAAATAAATAGCAATACCACCTACTACATAGGATTTCTATGATAATTAAGTTAATGTCTATAGAGGACTTGGAATAATGCATTTAGTAGGTATCATGTACATATATTATCTATCATTAAATCTGGATGTTCAGCCTAGCACAGAGGCCTAATCTCCAAATAACTGTCTGATATCAAACCTCCCCTTACATCTAACATCAAGATACACCACACAACTACTTGGTGAATTTTCTCTTTCTATTAAAATTATTCAGTCTAATTGTTTGTTGTTTCCAGCCAAAGAATCCAAGTTCTCCGTCAAGAAACCTGGAATTATTCAAAATTCAGAGATCCTGCAGTACTGAATTGCTAAGTCACCACGATTGTGACATAAAAGAACAGAAACCAGAGCACAGAAAATCCTTAAGTGAGTATTTTCTTAGGCTTGCTCATTTTAACTTTTTCTAAATGCAGTGCTTATGAAATATAAATGCATTGAAATGAGATTTAAGCCAAACTCTTACAACTCATGGGAGATTTGTAGCCATTTCCTGGCCAGGGATTCTTGCACTGGAGGGCAGTCTGGGCACTTTGCTCAAATCATTGTTGTTAATGCCTTTTGAGAAAAGAATTGTTCCAAGGTCATAGTCTCTGCTAACAGCAAACCTATGAATCTCTGAGTAAAAGCCATGATGTTGAGACCGGTGATTGATTTTGAGAGTGAGAAATGTCAAGCACCTCCAAACTTTGGAATGCTATTTGATTTCGTACAGTAGAAGATATGAATGACCACTACAGTTGGCCAACTTAAACTAACAAGACATTCAGCTATCCACACTTATAACCAGAAGGAATTAGAACTGCATGTTCTGGGGTGATAGAAAACAAGATCACCTCAGTTTTAATTCTCCAAAAGAACTGAATATAGAGAAAAAGAACCAAGATCACCACTTACAAAGTGATTTTGACTATCATTTTTAACCTTTTCCCAATCTGCTTCTCCCTTAATAAAAGCAAGTTTTTAAAACATATCACATGTATCTTACAGATTTGATTTGAATCTCAACCTCCTGAAACAATATGTAAACATCTTTTAAATCAGATAAAAAATAAATTTGCCAATGGCTTAAAATTATAGTAACTTTCTTGGATCTTCTATCTATCCCTAGTCTTCTGAATCACCTTTTGTTCAACCAAAGATTAGTATAGTTATATCCTAGCTTTTTAAATTTCAGGACAACACAGGAAGTGAAGAAAGGCTACTAATAAAATATACATGCATGTACTTGTAAATAAGTATTTATGCTAGATGAATATATGTGCTTTCATAATTAAGCTTTCATAATTAGAATTTGGTTATGAGTTATATATATAATGATTTTATATAAACATTTGTAATAGACATAAAAAGATGGGTGACGCCATGACTAGAGGCAGTAATCTTAATTGCCCTTGGGAGGAGGACCTGACATGTGCTTCTAAAGTCTGATGCTATGGAGAAAATAAAGTCCTGGAGAATGTGTGTGAGAAACATTGAGGCCAGTGGATTATGTATTAAGAAATAATCACTTTACTTATTTATTTATTTTTTGACAGGCAGAGTTAGAGAGAGAGAGACAGAGAGAAAGGTCTTCCTTTTTCCGTTGTTTCACCCCCCAAATGGCTGCTACAGCCAGTGCGCTGACCCGATCCAAGGCCAGGAGCCAGGTGCTTCCTCCTGGTCTCCCATGTGGGTGCAGGGCCCAAGCACTTGGGCCATCCTCCACTGCCCTCCGGGGCCACAGCAGAGAGCTGGACTGGAAGAAGAGCAACCAGGGCAGAACCAGTGCCCCAACCGGGACTAGAACCCGGGGTGCCGACACCGCAGGCATAGGATTAGCCTATTGAGCCGCGGCGCCGGCCGAGAAATAATCACTTTAAAAGTTGGAGAATACAACTGGAAAAAAGCATCCTACAGATGGCATACCAACTACTTCTCTTTAGAATTTATTTTTTATTAGAGAAGATACTGCTTTACTTTAAATAATTCAGTCCTGATTAAAGATAAGGGAAAAGACATATGATTTATTCTACTTACTGAATGTGTACCTAATTTTAAAGTGAGAGGTACAATATTAGGTATAATGTCCTCATATCCACTTTTTAGTTGAAAGTTAAAAATTAACAATAACTATGAAAAGGTCATTTGACTCAAAAGTGAAGTCACTAATTGGGACGACTGCATCCCCTTTGGAAGTGTCCGCGTTTGAGTCCCAGTTCCACTTCAGTTCCAGCTTCCTGCTGATGTGCATCCTGAGAATTAGCAGGTGATGGCTCAAAGATCCGAATCCTTGCCACTTGTGGGAGAGTAAGATTGAGTTCCAGGTTCCTGACTCTGCTTGGCTCAACCTCAGTTATTGCTGGCATTTGGGGGATTGAACCAGTGGATAAAAGAACTCTCCCTCTGCCTATCTGTCTCCTTATGTCTTTCAAATAATATTTTTAAAGTTAATGAAATATTTGAAAAATAATAATGTAAATTACTGAGTACATACCATATACCAAGGATTGTTCTAAACACTTAGTTTATATGGATTCATTTAGATTCGTTTAATCCTCTCACCAATCCTGTGAGGTTAGTACTATCATTAGCCTTCTCTTACAAGTAAGAAAACTGAAGCACCGAGAATTAAAGTAACTTACACAAATACAATTTGTAGAGACATCTTTCAAATCCATGTAATCTGATTTTAGAGACTGGTTTTAACCATTATACCATAATGAAAAAAATAAAGGTAAATCATTCATATCAACTTTGGACTCGATTAGACTATTACATTGAAAGCAAAATCTGTAGATTTAAAACATAAAAACCAAAAATAAGATTCATAGTAATCAGTAAATTTAAATTGGAACCCAAAAAATTATTAGTAAAAATAATTAAAATCTAATGTTCTATTTGAACTTTCACTATTCAAAGTAATAATTTAATCTTTCCTGCAACCCTAATTTTAGAAAAGGGTTCTTTTCTGTACCTTGATGGATATGCATAGTTGTGAGCCTTTTTTAGGGCTGGTATATATTTTTGTAACATAGCACAGTTAATACCCATGTATTCCTTTGAATCAAGTACATTCAGTATGTATGTATTCAGTTTAATTTGAAACACATAATGATTGACCCTCCCACACAATATCAAATTGGACTATGTGTTTGAAATAGTTATTGGCGTATTTTATATTTTATGCCTTTTAAAATATTTTTTTTCAGTTAGGAAATACCCTGTGTGAAACTCCTCTCTGATCTCACTCCTGGATTTGAACACCCAAACTTAGGTTTCTTAAAACATGCATTCAGTTTTATCTCACCCTCTGGAGATTAAATAATTATGTGGAATCAGAGATTCACAGTATCCTCTTCCTTATTAATAGTCTGAGCACAAACTTTATCGTCAGTTTGCTGCCTTTGGCTTCCTGTGCCCTTGATGTTCCCACGAGTTTTGTCGCCAAGATTGTATGCAGATAAAGCCAGAATTACTTTTTTAAAAGGCATGTGAACATCATTAGCAGCTAACAGGTGGTCATTTCCTTGTCCAGTTTGTCTGGGTAACATGGGAAAAATATGTTCTTTCAATGAGTAAGATTCAGAAAGTTGTGTTTAAATATACTTTCCATTTTAAAATATGATTCTAACCTGCCAACACTATTAAGTACTAATCAGATATTTTAAGATATCAGTTGAGTCTAACAGAGAAGAAGCCAGAAAATTTAATGTAAGGGCCAAGTCACTGTGGGAAATTCAGGACACCAGCCTGGGATGAGAGTGGGAGGGCAGCTCTCTGGGGAGCTCTGCAAGGAAAGTCGAGAGTCAATCAAAGAAGATGCTAACATATTTCTGCAGGAATAAGAATCGGCCACTGACAGTAGAAAGAGGAAGCACTCGAATATAAAATACAAAAGAGGAAAGGCTCAAATATAAACCTTGCATCAGATAAGCTTGGAGAAGTTTTTCTCTGAGCTTTACTTTAAAGATCTGTAAAAATGGGTCCAATAGCATAATTACAGGTTTGTGTGAGAATTTGAATTTAGAGATGCGAATACCTAGCACACAGCAGGCACTCAATGATAGGAGCTCTTATGATGATCTTTGTCCCCATGCAGATGGCACCAGAATAGACCATGAGCCAAGGGTGATGTCTGATGGAAGACTGGAGAAGGGAGTTGCTACTTAACATCTTACTCCCTTATTGTATAGAGAGTAGGGGAAGGGAGCCAGAATTGGATAAGGGAGTCATAGCTGCAAAAATCTAAATATAAGCAGCAGCTGGTCTTTCCCCTGGCGCTTCCCCAGGTGAAAATGGCAGCCAGGGCATTCTGTGGAGCAGCGTACCAGGAGAGTACAAAGGAGCCAAGAGATGCTCTTGATTCCTCTGTGCCAGGAAGAGCATGTCATTAAGAAGTTCTAGTTGATGGATAGGCTTCTACATCTAGCCATTCATTATTCTTTTACACAAAGCTCTAGTTTATTCACCCATGCATATATTTCTTAGTTTTGTTAACAAATAGTACAAGTACACATCTGAAATTCTTGTCTTCACTCATTTGTATTTTCAAGTTTTGAAAAAGTATTTTTTATTGAATAATGTTTCAGTATTTGTAAATCTCATGCCTAACATCAACTGGTCTTTTAACTCCATGAGTTTGGAGAACTTGGATAATTTGTGTATAAAATTGACACTTTGAGTATTTGTAAATAAGTGCACCCCCAAACAAACGTGAGTTCGAACAATGAAGTTAAAACGCAATAGATTTCCCTTTAGCTGTGTTGTGATTATGTTATCAAAAAAAAAAAAAAATGTGCAGGGTCTGGCACTGCAGCATAGTCGGTTGAGCCTCTGCAGCACCAGCATCCATATGGGCGCTAGTTCATGTCCTGATTGCTCCTCTTCCAATCCAGCTCTCTGCTAATGGCTTGGGGAGGCGGTGGAAGATGGACCAAGTGCTTGGGTGCCTGTACCCACGTGGGAGACCTGGAGGAGGCTCCTGGCTCCAGCCATTGCAGCCATTTGCAGAATGAACCAGCAGATGGAGGAACCCTCTCTCTGTAACTCTGCCTCTCAAATAAATAATCTTTTTTAAAAAAACATGTTTTGAGTGAAATCCTAGAAGTATTTAGATATGTATTTCATATACTCTAAATGATGTGTGTGGTGTAGTTACAGGGAAAATGATAGAAATGGAAAACTTGAATTGATATACTTACATAATGTAGAAAATAACAGTGCTGTAGACATTTAATGTTATCCTTGATCAAAGCAAAGTCTCTGCAAAATAATCTTGATCATGACCAGTGAATACAAATTTGATAGATAAGGCAGTAGCTTTTTGTACTAATGTAAATAATTATTATACTGGCCAGTCACAACTGTAAGTAGATTATATTCTCCAA